GGCGGCTCTGATTGGTCAGCTGGTCGGCTCTGATTGGTCAGCTGATAGGTCCTCACTACTGACTTTAGAAGGAGATCAAACGGCTGATTCACAGGCGGCTCTGATTGGTCAGCTGACAGGTCCTCACTACTGACTTTAGAAGGAGATCAAACGGCTGATTCACAGGCGGCTCTGATTGGTCAGCTGGTCGGCTCTGATTGGTCAGCTGACAGGTCCTCACTACTGACTTTAGAAGGAGATCAAATGGCTGATTTACAGGCGGCTCTGATTGGTCAGCTGACAGGTCCTCACTACTGACTTTAGAAGGAGATCAAACGGCTGATTCACAGGCGGCTCTGATTGGTCAGCTGACAGGTCCTCACTACTGACTTTAGAAGGAGATCAAACGGCTGATTCACAGGCGGCTCTGATTGGTCAGCTGGTCGGCTCTGATTGGTCAGCTGGTCGGCTCTGCTGGGAGTGGTCCACTTGCTTAGAGATGTCCCGCCCCTTAGACACCAGCGTGTGGAGCGTTAGCCAATGGGAGTAAAGAAAGGAGTCCTCTCTAACTGTTAGCGTGCATTCATAATAAATACCGTGTGATGATGAACATCTGAAGAGTAACTCGTGTTATTAGATCTGACTGTACTCACATCATGACATGTTGTCTTTTACTTTAGTTACTTAGAATAGTCTTCCAACAGGTTCAAGCAGCACTTATTGATCTGTTTCTCTGTTCCACGTGAAGCTGACCCTAACCCTTGGGACTCTTTTACCTCCAGACGTTTCATCCCTGCTTTATTTTGAAAGTCTGCAGTGTGATATAAAGTCATTAAATCAACTTCCTATAATATTAAAAACCCTAAATTAAAACTCTTTGAGCAGAACTTTTACACATCGTTTCATTCCTGATGTTTTGACAGTGATCGTCTCAAAGAGAAACCTCTGAGCTGGAAACCAACACTTCCTGTACGTCTTCACAATAAAAGCCTGGCCAGCTGGAGGACTTTTATTGTGAAATGTAAACAGGAAGTGTGTTTCCTGAGATAAATCAGCAGCTTGTTCCTGTAAATCTAACCTCTGATCTCAGGTCAGCGGACCGTCCGTCACACCGACAGGAAGTAGTTTTATTCTGACGGGAACGACCTACAGTAATCAATAACCAATATCTGATCAGCCTCATCGGTGCGTAAAAAAACAGAAGAAGAAAAACTAGCTCCACAGGAACAGTGTGTGTGTGTGTGTGTGTGTGTGTGTGTGTGTGTGTGTGTGTGTGTGTGTGTGTGTGTGTGTGTGTGTGTGTAGGGGGTCATGCTCCTCGGGGTCAGAGGTCATCACATGCCCTGCCGGATGCTCTGGATGATCTGGAAGATTGCTGCAACACAAAAATGCAATGAAATACATTAAAGTCAGAGTAAATCCTCTCGGTTCAGTAACACTTGAATATGTTAGATAGAGGTTTGTTCACAGAGTTATTCATCGAGAAATAACTAAATAAAACCCATTAAATGTTCCAAAAACACACGTTGTCCGGTTACACCTGTTTAATAAATATCTCACCTGATCCACAGACCACGAAGACAAAGAGAGCGAGGAGCCAGGGACCGACCGGAGACTTCTCCTCGTTCACAGGCCGCTGAAACACACACACACACACACACACACACACACACACACACACACACACACACACACACACACACACACACACACACACACACACACACACACACACACACACACTGTGTTTTACGTGTGTTATGTAAGACAACAGAACATAAGACTCTAGGGAAGAAGACAGCGAGATATTTAGGATCAAAATGTGTCCCATAGTTCAGGCTAGACCTACACAACAGCAGAGTTTACAAAAAGTATTTCAGTTTAATAGATTAACGAATTAAGAGCGGTATTTCTGTTTAATGAACAGTGCTGTGATTGGCTCACACTCTGCCTGCTAAACCAACCACAGACTCCCTTTAGAAATCTGTGTATTTAATGCCGACCTCTGTGTTTGCTAGAGTAAACACGAGATAAAAATACAAGACGCGGTTATTATCCAACCGGGTTCAAGCCTGTCTTTAATTCGTCTTGAGTATAATTAGCATTGAACGACACGATGGAACTCTCTCTGTGTCTCAGACCTCTGTTTACAACCTGCCAGGACCGGGAGAACCGGTTAAAATACCACAAAACTCACAGGAAACACTGAGTTATATGTAGGCCGAATTGAAAATCCTTTGTAAAACACTAAATAAAACCCATTAAGTAATATATACATGTATTAAATATCTCTGTATGCACAAATAAACAATAAAAAACACAGATATGTGGAAGTAGCCTGGCTGAAACCCACCAAACTATCAAAAACAGTGGGTTATATGTGGGCCGAATTGAAGATCATGTGTCAAACAGTAAAGAACACAAATAAAGTAATATATTTGTATTAAATATCTCTGTATACACGCAAAAACAATAAAAACACAGATATCTGGAGGCAGTCTGGCTCTCTTCCTACAGTGTAGCTGCTAATGCTAATGCTAGCTACACCAGACTAAGATGTATTCTAGTTCCCGGATATTTAAATCTAAAAGCTGAATTAAATCAGGATTATTGTGCTTGTTAAACACCATGTGTGTGATGTTTATGGTGTAATGTCTATAACGTAATGTGTGGGGATGCATGCATCAGCAAGCCGGTTAGCATGTTAGCTCTGTTAGCCGTTAGCCTGGCTGTCAGTGTGTAATACAAATATTTAAGTGTAAAGTACCGATGTTCTCTGCACGTGTCAGCATCATAGACTGTATATGATAATATATAATAATATATAATAATATAATACAACAGTACTGGTGTTTTCAGTACCATAGAGTGTATATATAAATAGATAATAATAAGTACCGATGTTTTCTGGACGTGTCCCCGCTGGGTGATGCTCTTGCTGTGCCGCTCGTTCGCCACCTTCATCCGCTGAATGGCCGACATGGTTCTGTTCGGAGGAGAAGAAGCAGTGAGGGAGCCGGTACCGGAGAGGAGGAGAGCCGGAGGCTGGAGGAGGAGGCCGGTACCGGAGAGGGGGAGAACCAGAGTCTGGAGGAGAGCCGGTACCGGAGAGAAAACGTCCCGCAGGAGGAGGGTCTCTGCCGGTCTGAAGAGGCTAGCTGTTAGCTCGAGCTAGCGTGAAGCTAAGCGTGAAGCTACACCCGCGTCACGGGTGGGCGTCACGTCACGTCACGTCACGGGTGGCCTCCAGTGGCGGGAAGAAGAACTGCTTTTATTTTATGTAATTTATAGAAAATATAATCATCTTATTCATTATGTTTATATAATATATATATATATGTATATATCTATATGCTGTGGCCCTGCTTTAACCTGTTAAGCCCCAAGCCTGGCTGTTTTCCGGGTCTCAGGCTCGAAAATGACATTCACAGAACAAATGACCATAACTACACTTCTAAAAGGGGAAAATTAATAATCTTTTTTCTCGCTCAGGGCTCACTTAGACCCTTCTTGTGAGACTTGTGTTTGGTTTCGGTAAAAATGGTTCATATCATCAGTTACCTGAGTTTCTTCCCGTTAGGAGGGTATGACACATTCATAGTTTTTTAAATATTAAGAATCCCTGAGACACAGTGTCGTGAAAAAAACCTGTTAAGACCCCACAGGTTAAAGGTTAGTGTTGTGGCCCTGCTTTAAAGGTGAGTGGCCCTGCATTAAAGGTGAGTGGCCCTGCTTTAAAGGTGAGTGGCCCTGCTTTAAAGGTGAGTGGCCCTGCTTTAAAGGTGAGTGGCCCTGCTTTAAAGGTGAGTGGCCCTGCTTTAAAGGTTAGTGGCCCTGCTTTAAAGGTTAGTGGCCCTGCTTTAAAGGTTAGTGTTGTGGCCCTGCTT